CCGCGGGACACGCGGGGTCACGGACACGGCACCGGGGGGTGTCGTGTTCTGGCCTGTGACCCTGCGGGGGCCAGAGATGTGACAATGTGACAATGTGACATGGTGTGTGACACCGTGGGGACGGGGACACGGCGTGTTTCTCGTGGGACACCTCCCCGCGCGCGCTGTGTCACCCACGGGCGTGTCACCCGCGCCACGCCACCCCCAGCCACCCTCACTCTGCAGCCTGCTCACACCCACAGCTCCACATACACTGAGCACCTCATTTTTGGGACCCCCCCCAAATCCCGAAAGCCCCTCAAATCGCCACGCGAGGGTGACAGCAAGGGTGACAGCAAGGGTGCCACGAGTGACAACCACACCAGAGCGTGGCAATGTCCCCGGGGACAGCCTCTCCCTGTCCCCATCTCCTGCTGTGCTCCCGAAGCTGGCTGGGTGGGCAGGGAAGTGGCACCGGTGTCACCATTCCCTGTGGAGCCTTGTCCAGGCTGCTTCCAGGCCCTAATGCTCCCCTGGGAGAGGCCCCACAGCCTAATTAATAGATGCTGATTAATAGATGCTGATTAATTGATGCCACAAGCCCTGACACGAGCCCATAAACCCTGCAGGGAGGTGCCTGTGTCCGGCCCTTGGAGCTGCTGACACCGAGCTCTGAGCCCTGGCAGCGCTTCCCTGTGGGATGCCACAGGGCAGGAAGGAATGAACCGTGGGACACCTCCTGCTGCATCCCAAAAGTGGTGCAGGACATCTCTGGAGCTCCAAGGAGCAGCGGGATTTATCCACCAGCTCCTGGCAGGAAGGCACCTCCAGTGAGGTGAGGTGGAGGGACACAAAGTTGGTGCTGGGATACCCCAGACCAGCCTGAAATTCCCAATCTGCAGTGATTCCCTCGTCCCTTCCGGGACCTGGCGGAGCTGCCAGATGTGGGATGTTTCACCAGACAGGCCACAACACTTTAATACCAATAATAAAACACTTGTAATTCAAACCCCAACCCTACCCAATTACGAAATACCCTCGGCCGCAACATGAAGCGCTTTTGGGGTGAGAAAATGATGTTTAGGGTCAGAGCCGGGCAGGGAGGGACCCTGGGCAGTCTCCCAGCCCCTCCTGTGCTGCCAGCTGGGAGCTCTGTCCCCGCTGGGGTGGGCACACACGGCCAGGGCCAGCCCCAATCCTGCCCCTCCCAAGTGGAGGAGGCACTTGGGAACTTCTCTGGGAATTCTGGAATCCTGAGGGAGCCACCCCTGCCATGGGCAGGGACACCTTCCACCCTCCCAGGGTGTTCCAAGTCCTGTCCAGCCTGGCCTTGGGCACTTCCAGGGATCCAGGGGCAGCCACAGCTTCTCTGGGAACCTGTGCCAGGGTCTCCCCACCTTCACTGGGATGAACTCCCATCCTCACAGCCAACAATTCCTCCACACTTTTTTCCCCAGCCCTTTCTCCAACCAAAATCAGCTTAAGGTGTAAAATCCCTCAGTAAAGATGGTCTGAGGCAACCCCAGGGGAATCAGATCCTCGCTTTGCTGCAAACCAGGAGCTCCTGTTCTCTCTCCCCCCTCCCTTCCCACCCTTCCACGCGGGCACCGCTTTCTGGAGACACCTCGGCAGCAAAAGTGAACTTATGACCACAAACTCCCAGTGTTTTCACGGATTTCAGCGATTCAGTGCCAGGGGTGGAACAGGTTTTAGCTGGAGTGTCCCTGGGGGCAGGCTGGGATCAGGGCTGGTGCTGGAGGTATTTGGCCAGGACTGCGGGGATCTGCAGCTCTGCGAGGGCGGCCGAGCGGCCGGGCTGCTTCAGGAGACGCCTCATGGCCAGCCGGGATTGGGACAGCAGGGATTTGGGATGAGCTGTGGAAGGAAAATCACACGGTCACCTCCAGGACACACAACCCAACCCGGCATTATCCCAAGGAAAGGGACGTGGATTGAGCAGGGTTGCAACAAAACGATCTTTAAGGTCCCTTCCAACCCAAAGCGTTCCAAGATCCTATGAAAATTCCATGATCCCATAAAAACTCAAGCTCTGTGCTAGGGCTGGGGCTGTGGACTTGGAGAAGAAATCTTCCATCCTCACATGGAAATAAGTGCAGGATTTTAGATTTGGGCATACAGGAGAGGCCAAGCTGAGCAGCAGAAAGGAGAGCAAGGGTGAAAAGCAGCCCATAACCCAACAAAGAGAGGGAAACCCAGGCTGTGGGAATCATGGAACCACAGAAGGCTTTTGGCTGGGAAGGGAATTTAAGCGCATCTCATTCCACGGGCAGGGACCCCTTCCGCTATCCCAGATTGCTCCAAGCCCTGTCCAACTTCCAGGGATGGGGCAGGGGTGGGACAGCCACAAACCCACACATCCAAGCCATGCTGCGAGGGGAACCGAAGGAAAACCCGAGGCTGGCTATCGGGAAGAGGGAATCAGAGCAAAGCCGTGCCCATTCCCACCCCAGGCCACGCGGCCAGGTCACCTCTGGCCTGCAGCAGCAGCTCCAGCCCCTCGCTGCGCGGCGCCCCGTCCGCGGGCACCCTGGGCAGGTACACGTTGGCCCCGAAGTCGATGAGCAGCCGGACGAAGTCGGCGCGGCAGCCGTGCCTCAAGCACGTCTCCAGCAGGGTCTTGGGCTCGCGGATCTGGGCCAGGACCCCCTGCTCGGTGCAGTTGTAGTCGGGGTCGGCGCCGTGCAGCAGCAACAGGCGGAAACACTCCAGGTGCCCGTAGGCCGCCGCCAGGTAGAGCGGCCCTGAGCAGGCCACCGAGTTGGCCGCCCACTCTGGCAGCCGGGCCTGGACGTTGGGCTCGGCTCCGTGCTCCAGCAGCTGC